GGCGTGGTTTCGATTTCCCACTTAAAGGTGATAAGGAATAGGGTCGCCTGTCCAACCTCATGAATTTTCAGGAAGAAATTTTCTTCAGTCATCCTAAAACAAAAGTCATTCACAGCTGACATACTGTGGTAATGGTAGGGGTATTATCCCCTAAAGTGGAGACCATATCTGCATGTATCTATGTTGGGGTCAGTCCCTTAAGTTGCATGTACTGGCTGACTGCCCTATAGCCAGTTTTGCCCATTTCTGGTGATTTCAATGGGTAGGTTCACAAGATGGTCTGGACTGGTACTAAGACAATAATAACACTACAGTTGCCGGGGTTTTTTTTATCTATGATTCATTCAATGCTTGTTGGTGGCAAAAGTTTGTTTCAATCCAATTGATCTATCCTTTCAGGTTTAGAATATTTCAGCCAGCCCTCGTACATGTAGATAGGCTATTTATTAATGTCAACTTTTATTTAAGGGAAAAAAAATGACAGATTCAAATGATTGTAAATAATAAAGTTTTGAAGAGCAAAGGTCTAAATTGTTAATATAATAAGCCTATTAACCTTGAATCAGGTTCATGAAATATTTTAACGTGTAGCTGATCATGAGGTGGATTCAGACCTTTAGCACTGTAAACCAGTTGGATTACAGCCAGAACATCCCTGAGGGCATGAAAGGCACCGCATTTAAAAATAATGGTGCCCTTAAATAATTTGAAATGACAACAATAAATAATCCTATTAACCTTTTTGTAGTTGCATGAAACTTTTTAATGTGCAACCAGGTTTCGACCTGTATTATTGAAGAGATTTTATGTTGTCCATAAATAGTCTAAAATAAAATAAATCCGCTCTAAGGAAATGAATTATACATGTACATGTATGCTAACATGAAGATAGCTAAATATGTACTCAGATTGATTATTAATATTTAATAAGGAAAGCAAAATTTCCTGGCTTGGATTCTATCAGATTTAAACTAAGTCGATCTGATTTCTCCACTACCAATAAATGATGGTGACATCTTGTCACGTTTAAGCATCATAGATCAATGAAATTTCAATTTATCGTAACATTATAAGTATTGAACGGACTGCAAGAGATTTCCTCAGCACTAAATGATGCTTCAAGCAAGCCTTTAAACATTTGTATCTTCGTTTTCCCATTGGCAAGGGACCTACGATGGCTCAGTGAGTAGGATGTTGGCTCGCCAACCTGGAGGTCCTGTGTTCGATCCCTGCATTGACCCAGAAAGATTATTGGGAATGTGTGGCGTGGTTCCCCCTTGTCAGTGGTGTAGGACGCATGACCTGACAATGGACAACGTGTAGTTGTTTGGCTGGGACAAAAAAACTGAGGTCCTGTGTACACATTGACATGCATGTAAAATAACCCTTGACAATTGGAAATCGAAATAAAAGTAGGTCGTAGTGCCGTTGTCTGGACAAAATTTCCATCATAGCACACTCCGTGGCATATGCCCGTCTTCATTAGCCCAGTTGGTGCAGAACAGTAGGCCGTTAAACATCATTTTATTTCTCATTGACAAATAATTATAGGGTGAATATACACTTATGCACTTATATATAAAACAAGGATATGAATTGTGGAATGTTCTCCATGAATTATGAATTGTTTATAAGACATGTTATTACAATGACTACAGTGTTAATAGGAAGAAGGAAATATTCATTGAAAAGACAATAAGAAAATCTTCTTTCTAGAAATGTTTACGGTATGTACGCTTGAGATTATTTGTCGACAGGTGACATATTCTATCTTTTAATTTTCTGCTGTCTTTAATATCATGGGGTTTTTTTACCATGTAAATAGGAATTTGAACGATGCATGTAAAGAAATCTTATGATCAGAATACAAATGAAAGCAGAGTTTGAAAAAATCCTAAAGTTTCTGATTGATAAGTGTGTCAGACTTCGAGGTCTAGTTGAGAGTTTAATGCGTCCCCATTTGTGGGAAGAGCTTTCCTATAAAGCAGGTTTTAGCTCCTAACTGTTGATAAAAGTACACCCCGTGGCTAGTCAGCCAGTCAGTAAAGAGCCGATTCTTCTGACTTGATTATTGATAAAAGTACACCCGGCTAGTCAGCCAGTCAGTAAAGAGCCTTTCCTTCTGACTGGCTTGATTGATGATAAAAGTACACTTCGTGGCTAGTCAGCCAGTCAGTAAAGAGCCTTTCCTTGTGACTGACTTGGTTGTTGATAAAAGTACACCTGGCAAGTCAGTAAAGAGCCTTTCCTTCTGACTGGCTTGATTATTGATAAAAGAACATGACATCGTCTACTGATCTTGATGATTTCTTTACAGACTTTTCACGTCTAGTTTTAGGTTGCAGATGATCTGTATTGATTGTTACTGTATTCAAGCAAGTTTTATGATTGGTGATTTAAAAAAGAAAACGAACATGTGGCGAGGATAATTTTATTCAGAAAAGTGTTGTTAATACGTTCCTTGCAGACGATTTTGATGCTGATATAATATGGGTGTTAGATGCTCTGGCAACTGTGTTAAACCATATTTGGTAGTAAATCTGCTCATTTCATAACGTAATAGTAGTCTTTTTTCTCATGTATCATCACAATCATACTTTCCTACAAAGGGTTTCGTATGACAAGTACACAAATATGTGTTCTTATTGACATGAATGTACAGGTACGTAATGCATGAATACTCATAGTAATTAACCGCACCAGTATTTTGTTTTCTTTACATGATGACGAAGAGGATTTATAATTTAACTACAGTTGAAGTAACATTTCCACGAAGGTATTTTTTCTATTAAAAGTATGACATATTTGGTATATGTTTGAATATTGTTTAAGTATAGTGATTTGGATAGCCAAGTGGTCGGAAGTGATGAGCTACAGTGTAATGGTCAGATTGGATGCTGATTTTACTATACAAATATTTCAATGCTATACAAACATTCTAAAGTCATTATTTGTGTCCGACCCAGCCCCACCCCCACCCCATTATGGTACTTGTTTGTGGTGATAGTTCTTTAACATCTGCTTCCACAAAAAGGATACAACAGACACAACCTAGGAACTTCTTTGTTGTTTGTATTTATGTATGCGTATACATGTATATAAGTAGTTATATTTACCTGTATCCAATGGTTTGACTTTTTATAACTTTGTAAACAAATCATTACACTTGAAAAGTTTTAATACCCTATTTTTATAAGATATAAGTACATTGTTATTGTTTGTTATTTGCTTGACAGCTGTCTAGTCATTTGGATGGGACAAAAAACTGAGATCCCGTGTATATATTGGCATGCACGTAAAAGATCCCTTGGCAGTTGGAATTCAATAATATTGTAGACCATAGTGCCGCTGCCCGGGCAAAATTTCCCATATAGCATATCGTATGGCGTATGCCCGTCTTTATTAGCCCAGTTTAGGGGCAGAACAGTAGGACATTAAACCCCATTTCATTTCATTTTATTTGTTATTCGCCGTTTATGTGCAATAACTGTTTATATAAAATAACTGTTATTATTTATGTAAACATTATCTAACCCTCTAAACAGACACAATCATGAACATGTGTCCTTACATTTAATGAATTGGGAAATGAGTTTTATTGAATTGTTTCCTTTTCATGTTTTATTTTCCGTTGTTGATTGAGGTATTTTGTTGATTCATGATAGTGTATTGTTGAGGTGTGTTTTTATTTTTTATCAAGTAATTTAAACTATTTCCTACTTGTAGATATTGTATTATTTGTGTACATTTATAACTTGTTTAACAATATACATAAAACTCAAGGCTAGAGATAGTCTGAAATAGAGAGAAAGCGAGAAATGGGGTTTAACATACACTGACAAAAACATAGTACAATATGGATACATGTGATAGAAAGAGAGAAATGGGGTTTAACGTCCACTCGACACAAACCAGGTCACTTCGGGACTAACATATGGTTTAATTTTCTTTCAATAATTCGCTTGCACGTAGGGGTCTTTAGCAGTGGGAGGAAACCGTAGGACCCGGAGAAAACCCACGAGGCTGGACAGGCGACCCTACTCCTTGTCACGTACAACCGGGGATTCGAAACCACACCAGTTGACTCAATGACAGGTCTTATGATTCAGCACGCACGTGCTAACCATTCGGCCATCCAACCCCCCATGATTACATGTAATTTTGGGACTAATTTCAATACTTTGCTTGCGTGTATGTTCTTTTTTTTTAGCAGTGGGAGGAAACCAGAAAAAACCCATGTGGTTGGGAAAGCAAGCCTACTCCTTGTCACGATCAAGCCTTGTTTCGAAACCATTACACCTGACTTAATGACAGACCTTATGATCAAAAGCAAACACCTTAGACAACTAGATTAGTTCCCCCCCCCCCCACACACACACACACTCCTTGTCACAAACAAGCCTGGGTTCGAAACCATCACAACTGACTGTGACAGACCCAATGATCTAAAGCAAATGCCTTAAACAACTCATCTACCCCCCCTCCCCCCACAACCACCACCACTCCTTGTAGTCATTTTGCTCTAAAGCACGTCTTAAAGCACTCAACAAACCAACCCCTTTATTTATGAGATAGATGACTATATAATAAAGTATTTCCTACTGTGTATTTTATTACTGGTGTTCAACTCAGACTATCAAGGTTGAGTGATAATTTAATTACTTCGTCTTTACTATACGTTTTTTCCAGTCCTTACCAGTTTTAGGATTATGTTTCTATTAAACTGAAGTGACTGGTCGAAAGTGTCAGACTGGTATTACACAACAAAGTGTCTGTGATGATTGTCACGAATGATGGTATATGATATACTGAATACACTAAAGCCTTCACATGTACAGAGTCTCATGGCTTTTCATTTATGATTAATTGAAACACAATAATTTTCTTTTCATAATGTTGAAATTTTTCAAAAACTGAAACATGGACTCATATTGTTAATTTTTTTGTTCAAATTATATTGAATTTATTGTGTAATTAAAATTTTTTTTTTTTTTTTTAAGGATTGAGATAATGTAGTTTGACTCTAATACTGATGTCAAAGATGGTCAATCCACAAACCACGGGTCAATATGAGGTTGTAAAATGTGTGATTGTTGGAGATTCTGGAGTTGGAAAAACATGTTTGATACGAGCTCTGGCGTGTAATGCTAGATTTAATTTACAGGAACTTGTTAAAACACATGTAGCTACAGTCTGGGCGATTGATCATTATCACAACGATGAAGAGGTAGGCTTTTTTACTCCAGCATTATAAATCATGTAATTTATTCTCACAATACAGATGTATTGGAAAACTCAGATATTGCACATGTGGTGTGTATGCAATGTAATTTATATAGCTGTAGACAGCCATCTCAAGAATTATTTTTAAAATTGTCCTGAAAATCTTTTTAGACTTAATTTCAAAAGATAAATTTAAGTGGTGATATTTTTAGTGTAATTTTAATGTAGTTTCTCGGATGGTTGCAGATAAATTTCCAATATAGAATCTATCCATATATATATTTGAAATAGCAGATATTGAAATCATTCAAAGTGAATATGAAAAAAAAAAGTTTATAAAATTTCATATCTTGTAAGTTAAGTACGGCCTGAAACTTGTGATAAAAGTTGGCAGACATTAGTATTATTAAACGTACAGAATTGTTTGATTAGATGATATATATTAATGCATTTTAAATATCATATCAAATAGCTGTAGATGTTTTAAACAAAGAAAACCTTTAGAGAAGATCTTTTGTTTAACTTGATGTAGGCTTAGCTTATGTTCATTGAACAGACAGGTGTGGACATAGGTAGACAAAAATATATGACAGGTATCACGCTTGAAAAATACGCGGGAAACGAAGAGACTTCATCTTGTTTTCTACTTCCTATCTGTCATCACTCTCTCATCATCGTAAACAATGCCATGTGCTTTTTCTATTTATAGTAACACAGCTCGAAAGTTATTCATTTTTTATTTATGTTTTTATATATTCAGTGAACCTTTAGGCTATTCATCAAAAATGTTACATTGTTTTGGCTATTTGCCATTTATTTACATGAGAATTAGGCCAGTATAACTGATCTATCTGTACTATAAACATGACAGTTATTCTAAAATAATATTACCCAGAGACATACACAGATCTTATATATAGGCTAGTTGTAAAACATAAATATTTTGATTAGCCTGCAGGCCTATAAATATCAAATAGCCAGTATAAATTTTGTTATCGATGATTAACACGTGCCTATATTTGGTTGTCGTTCCATATAATATTTATTGATATGTTTATATAATATTTGTTTATTAAATGAAATGGGGTTTAACATCCTTCTTTTCTGCACCGACTGGGCTAATAAAGATGGGCATATGCCATACTTTGGAAGAAATTTTGTCTGAACAGCAGCACTACGGCCTATTTCAAATTCCATCTGTCAAGGGTTCTTTTACGTGGCACAATAATCATTTTTGTTTCAAATACCAAAATTCAGACAAAAAAATTTTTCTTGAGTCATTTTCATTTAAATGTACGAGGATGTTTTATTACATATTAAAGATACATTATGCAAGAGCTAAATCTGCCTATTGCAGGTCTTTCTTTATTCCTGAAATGTTATCTAAATTATTAATTAGGCATTAATTAACTTATCCAGACCATAATCAACTCTCGATGTCAATGCTAGCCTGCGATGTTTACTGGATTAGAATCACATTTGCTGCTCCACTTTCATTCTTGATTAAATCATGAAATAGATAATCAAGCAGTGGCGGCGCTGGGGGGGGGGGGGGCATTTGCCCCCCCATTAATCTGGTCTGCCCTCTGTTTGCCCCCCCAATAATTTTAGAAAATAAAAAAAAGTATTTGTGATACGTTTCGGTAATCAATACCTTCTACAGTGAATAAATCCCACATCCCCACTCAGTCATAAACTTGCATGTTGTAGAGCATTTCCGACAGTCTATTTTTCAAAATTTTCTTGGCGAAGTCCCCAATGGACTCGCTACTTTGGCGTTCACAAGGGGAATTCGTTGAGGTTCGCAAGTCCGTTCGTTTGACATTTTGTTCTCTAGTCGGATAAACTAGTGATCAGGCGACGGACGGTATCTGGTCAGATCTATTTATCTCGACGATCGGTGCCTGGGAATACTGTAAGACAGCATTTCCGGCAGTCTATTTTTCAAAATTTTCTGGGGGAGGACTCCCTACTTTGACGCTCGTGAGTGGGCTTCGTCGTGATTCGCAAGTCCGTTCGTTTGACACTTTACCTCATCGATCAGTGCCTGAAATACTGCCAGGCTGCATTTCCGGCAACCTGTTTTTTAAAATTTTCTGGGGGAGGCCCCCTACCCCTAGTTGAAGCTCGTGCCTTTGCCCCCTTAACCTTGGACTTTGCCCCAGCTTTGCCCCTCCAATCACCGACGGCTGGCGCCGCCACTATAATCAAGACTATGTTTTTTATCATACCGACTTTAGTAATGATGATTGAGGATAGAGCAAAAATTCAATCTCTAAAATCTTGGTTCAGAGTGGATCAATTTGACTGAAATTTTCAGCAAATTCCCTTTACATTATCTAGTTTTTAACTATTATAGTGAAAACTGCAGGCTCTTTATCTAATCTCCCATAATGTATCTTTAAAGAGTGACAATTTTTATAAAACGCTCAAACAACTTTGCTGCTAGTAGGCATTTGTTTCATTGATTACCTGACAACCTATCGTTAATATAAATGAGTTATTTTTTAAACACAGGTTATGGAAAGATCATGGTGTGATGTAGATGGTGTACGAGTATCATTACGACTCTGGGATACATTTGGTTACCATGATAAACAACGAGAATTTTCTTATAAAGGGTAAATTATTTCATATCATTCCATAAAGAAACAAATTACTTTATTTACAAAAGTCCCAGTTCTTATTAGGTCTCTGAAAAAAATATGTTTATGTGTGCTAATCAAATGCCAGAATGTAGAGAAGCGGTCTATTTACCTTGTCTGAAATTATCAGCTCAAAATATTGAGCCGTTTCAAAAGGATTGCCAAAACAATTTAGATGAATTACAAACTCCAAATATGAATATTTCAATATTGTTTGTAAACTTTGGCAAAAGGTAATTAAAATGCATAAATAATCCATGACAAAGTGTGCTCAGTGGATTAATAAAAAGAGATGCATCAACACTGGCTTGTTTATATCGACTACAGTGGATGCTGACTGTTGCAAAATTTTCAATACACCATATCTTTATGAATACTGAACAGAATAGAATCAGTTTTGTACCGATATTTCGTTAAAATATCAAATTTTTCACTGCTTAATCCACGCTAAATATATGTACTCAGATTGATTATCTAACATTTAGTTAAGAAAACAAAATAAAAATACCAATGCTAGCTAATCTCTCGGCTTGGATTCAGTCAGATTTGAAATAGGCCAACCAGGTTACCTAACGAATAGCAGAGATCGATGAAATTTCAATTTATCATAACTTTGTAAATACTGTTTGCAAGAGATCCTGTAGCCAATGGAGCATCAAACCTTTAGTAAGAGATTCAACTTTGACAATTTTATAGTTTTAAAGAGATTAACAATCCCACAAATGAGGTTCAGTGGATTTAGATATATTTATATTGTATGATGTTTAAGATACATTCCCGCTTACAAACTGGGTGATTTGAAGATATATTTGGACTAAAAACATTAAAACTAATTAATTTATCATAATTTTGCTTCAAATCCTTCCCAAAACATTGTAATTGCCAAGGAATACCTCTGCTGTAAAAAGTCAATCAAAAGAGGTCATGTTTGTGTCACATGACTTACCTCTCTCAGTACCTATAGCAACGGGTGCGAAGTCGGAGGAGAATTCATTGCATACACAAGACGATGTTGTCTTTAATCGTTGACTATTTATTACAAATATCGAATCCTAATTCAATTTTCGGATTATCCACTGCCCGTGTCTTTTTCCCGATTTTTATCTCAGAAAGTGTTGTACGTCTAACTCTTCATAAAGTTTATCAAAATGTACATCAAACTCTCAATCTCCACGTGCAACCTTTGACGTCACACATGCAGATATTCCTAATCATCGGGCTGTCGATTAGGGGAACCCTTACATTTTCATCCTGTATACGCGCCATAAGTGTTTTTCAGGGAATCCAATATTTATCTAGTAAGATTGGATATCTCTACTATCCATATATACCAAAATTGCCATACTTTTATTGGAAATAACCACCCGATAAATACTTTTCTGAGAACCTATCTTAAAATACTTATTTATAAAATGGTTATATATTTATTTAAATAGAGCTGATGTGATAGTAGTTTGCTTTAGTACAGTTCGACCAGCATCGTTAAAGAATGTTCGTAGTGTGTGGTATCCAGAGATTCGAAGAGTTTGTCCGACGACACCTATATTACTGGTCGGAACGAGAACAGATCTACGTTATTTATATAATGATGAAAAATATCTTCAGACACAGAAAGGGCTTCTATACGTGTAAGTAGATCAAACTCTTAAAATATTTTTCATGTACGGGGGTGTGGGGTGGCTGAATGGTCTAGCCCGTGCACCCTAGAATGGTCTGTCATTTAGTGGCTTGACGAGGAGTACATGTAGGTGCCGCACGCCTGCCTGACCTTGTTGGTTGTCTCCAGGCCCTCCAGTTTCCTCCTACTGCTAAAAAACACGTTCATACAAACAAATTATTGTTCCAGTTCATTTTGCACTGTTTGTCTTCTAAAAATTTTTGCTTGTGGGTTTTCTCCAGGTCCTCTGGTTTTCCCCTACTGCTAAATTGAACCATATGTTAGTCCCGAAATGAACTAGTTTGTGTCGAGTGTACATTAAACCCCATTTTTATCCCTTGTCTTTGGAGCACTATAACTTTGTTTCTAAATGGGGTAAAATGTTCAAACTTGGTTCAGATGTTCATTAGGTGAATATCTTCACTGCGTTCGGTGTGATAAGCAATTGATTAGTTGGTGCTTTGGAACAAGACTTCAATGATTCCTATTTTGATGAGAGTCATGAAACTTGGTGTATATTTTTATTACATCATTACTGCGACTAAGATTAATAATGAGCATTTTCTGCCCAGGGTAAGCAGAATGATCAGCAGTTTGATTGTTTGATTCTTTAAAAAATGACAAATACGTAAGTTATTACTTTAGGAATGTTTAGAATCTTGGCATCTGACATCAGCCACACTGTTGATTTATTTTCAATAGATTTGTATTTAACTATTGTTATTGAACAGAAACAGTTGAGTTTTCCCTTTTAAAATGTCACTATAGGTAAAGCAGTTTCCGTTGGTATCCAAAACAGTTAAAATCTATGAGTAACGTTTGATTTAAAATTATTTGTAACCTTGCTATGTATTTTATAGACCAATTGAAGAGAAGGATATTATAACTCCAGAAGTTGGTCGTGATATAGCGAAGGAAATTGGAGCACCTTATTATGAAACCAGTGTTTTATCCCATCATGGTATCGAAGATGTTTTTATTAATGCAGCAAGGGCAGCACTCATTGAGAGACGTAAACTCAAATTCTGGAATGCCCAGTTGAGACATGTTCAGCGTCCCCTAATTCAGTCACCAATGAGAATCCCTAAACCTTCCGTGCCCAAAGCTGATGTTCCGTCATCCACGTTAAATAATGATTTATCCAGACTTCTGTATCAGCAAGCAGAAGCCGACGTTTTATTTTCTGTACAAGGCTCATGTATTCAAGCTCATAAAATATGCCTGATGGTGACTTCCCCTGTTTTCGAGGAGCTTTTTTCATTGGATGTTCTGAAGCAGTTGCCAACTGGTCGCAAAAACAGACATTCTGCCAGATTATCTTTCATTGGAGCCAGTATGCACACGGATGAAGATAAGTTAATAGAAAGTGACGCAGAGTCTGTGAGTACCGAGGGCGAATTATCAACGTCAAGAGTGTCTGGTTTTGAGAACTTTTTGAATGTTGACGCAGTGAATGGAAATTTCCCAGTAATCAGCGCCTACAACCAGAAATCTATCGAAACGGTTGAACTGAAATATTGCGAAGATCCCTTTAAGCCTGGACAATCTTTCCTACAGACTGTAGTAACTTTAAACCGGGAGATAACTCCCAGGGCGTTCCAATATATTCTGGAGTATCTTTACACCGGTGTTGTCAAGGAAACATACGGAATGAACGAAGTTAAAATAGCGGCAGAAATTTTCGAAATGACCGATCTTCTTGTGATGATGTCCAATCTCCAAACGAATGAGAATTATCTCAATAAAGAATTAAAACGAAAATTTCATGAAGATAGATTATCGAAGATTCGTGAATTAGCACTACATAAGGAACTAATGACAGGTAAGTTATTGTGAATCTTACGTGGCTAATAAGTTTATAAAGCTAAATGGTTTTATCCAGGTAGTGAAGTATTATCAGACGAGATGAATTGTTTGTACTACGGGATAACTGTGGCTAAGTGGGTAGGTCGCTGGCTTGCTTGTCTAGAGGTCGGGTGTTCGATCCCTGCATTGGCCGAGAAAGTCCATCCAGATTTTCCTGTGTGATTCCCCCTTGTCAGTGATGCAGGACAGAGTGTCTGACAAGGACAGCTGTCTAGTCGTTCAGATGGTACGAAAAACCGAGGTGGCATGCACGTAAATGATCCCTTGACAGTTGGAATTTGATATAAGAGTAGGCCGTAGTGCCACTGTCCGGGCAAAATTCCCCCATAGCACACTGTATCATGTATGCCTGTCTTCATTAACCCAGTTCGGAGCAGAACAGTAGGACGTAAAGCCCCATTTCATTTCATTTCATGTTTGTAATACCAGCCACAAAGGGATCAGTGACAGACTGGGTAGTTCTGGGCCCTCAGACCAACTTGTTTCCTTGGGCCCCGATCACAGTGAAAAACATGTCACATGACGAAAAAACGAAACTACCTTGATTCATGTATTGCACAGCCCACTCAAAGATCATTTTTCTCCTCGGATTTAGGCCATTATATTTTTCAGTGGATGCGAAGATGGATTTTTTTCTATTTTGAAAAAAAAAATATATGACATTTTTTACCGATTGGCCCTCGGACCACTTCCAAGGTCCAGTCTGCCCATGCAATGTCAAAGAATTTTCTGAATCGGAAAGGTATTCTTAGTTTGAATCAAGACACTTCAAGATTATTGTTTAAGTGGTGAGGTGGGTCGGAGAGGGCTGTGCGTATAGTGTTTAATATAGGATCATTAGATCTGTCAATGAATCAGGTAGCATGATTGACAAGAAGTATGGTCACCTGTACAACCTTGTGGGTTGTCTCTGAGTCCTTCAGTTTCCTATCTACTGCTACGAACTGCAAAGCACAAGCGAATTATTGAAATAAAATTTTACCGTATGTTAGTCCCAAAATGACATAGTGTCAAGTGGACATTAAACCCCTGTATCTATAGCAGTAAAGTTGTTAACTGTATTTTGATTTCAGGAATTTTTTTATATATGTTTTCAGATATTACGTTTAAAGTGGATGATGGATTAGTTTCCGCACATAAACCTCTGTTAATAGCCAGAAGTGAGATGATGAGAGCTATGTTTAGTGGTGATTTTAGAGAATCTGTAGCCGATGTGGTAAGATCTCATCTAAATCTTACCAGCAAAGATTGTGACTGTTTTCAGCATTCTCTAATTTTTATACGCCCACATTTCAGTAGATTGACTGACAGGTACATGTACATTCTTCAGCCAGTCAATTTGACTGCCACTCAGTCAAAACCGACAAATATGACTCAAATGAGAGCCCAGGTTCTGACTGTGATAAACTTTTATAATTCTGTTTGTATTTTAAATGGGAGCAACTCTGGCGCAGTGAGTAAGATGTTGGCCCAGTAACTTGGAGGTCCTGTGTTCGATCCCTGCGTTGGCCGAGAAAGATCATCACGATTTTCAGGCGTTGTTCCTCCTTGTCATTGGTGCAGGACCGACAAAAAAATGAGGCCCTGTGTACACAATGGCATACATGTAAAAGATCCCTTGGCAGTTGCAACTCGATATAAGAATAGACCGTAGTGCCACTGCCCGAGCAAAATTTTCCCATAGCACACTGTATGGTGTATGTCCGTCATCATAAGCCCAGTCGGAGCAGAACAGTAGGACTTCAACCCCATTTCATTTCATTTCATTTCCATTTTATGTTATTCCATTTGTCTAATTTGTCATTTTAGATAAAGTTCCCTGAAGTTACACAAGTTACATTTGTCTAAATTATCATTTCAGGTACAGTTTCCTGGAGTTACAAAAGATACATTTCGAGCTCTTCAAGAATTTCTGTATACGGACGAAGAGCCGTGTATGGAAGGAACAGATTGTGTCAATTTGATTGGTTTAGCTAATCAAATGTGTTTATTCCGTTTGATTAGTTTAACGGAGCTTTATGTGATAAGGGAACTGTCTCAATGTGAAAAAGATGGAGACGATATTATTGAAGATGTTATTAATTTATTGGAACCGTCTCAGGTAATATATTGTTCCTTCTTTAATAGGGGATTTCCCGGTTGTAAGTGACAAGGAGTAGGGTCGCATGTCTAACCTCTTGGGTTTTCTCCAGGACCTCCAGTTTCCTCCCACTGCTAAAGACCCCTACGCACAAGCGAATTATTGGAATAAAATTGAACCATGTGTTAGTCCCGAAATGACCTAGTTTGTGTCGAGTGGATGTTAAATCCCATTTCTCTCTCTCTCTCTCTCTCTCTCTCTTCAATAGGGGGGTATGGGCTAGGGGGCATTTAACATCTACCCTTTACCACTGGGTCATTTCAGGACTAACATATGGTTCAATTTTTTTTCACTAATTCAGAGAAAACCCACAAGGTTTGACAGACGACCCTACTCCTGATCACATACAAGTATGGGATCAAAACCACATCACATGACTCGATGACAGACCTTATTATCTAAAGTGCATGTGTTAGACCACTAAAGCACCCAACCCCCCCGAGGCCGAATCGTCTCAATGCATGCACTATAGATCACAAGGTTGCCTACCTAACCAGTGTGTTTTCTCTAAGTCCTCCTGTTTTCTCTTACGGCTAAAGACTCATACACACACACATATTATTGAAATACAATTATACCATATGTTAGTCCCAAAATACAGAACCTTGTCATGAAATATTTGTAATAGGGACCTTACACATCGGTACGAAAACGGACACCAAAACGAACATATATATGTTCGTTTACATTTTCGTTTTTCATATCCTCTAATAGTAGATGCCGTTAATTTCCACTCCATGAACTTCTCGGTCAAGGCAAAGTTTGCAATCGATTTTTTTGGCAGATGTACAACAAATCAAGCAGATTATTGCTTTTGAGCACATTCTACGAACTCTACACAATCAACAATATACACAAAGCCTCAAAAAATGGCGGAAAATTCAGTATATGAGACAAGAAACATTCGTTTGCATACCTTCGTAAATCCAGTTCCATACTCGTAACATTTTTCACTGGCCGAACACTCATTATGGATTGATGTCACAAGTACACATGAATCGATGACGTATTCGTTTTCGTACCGATGCGAAAGGTCCCTAATAAGAAACCTCCTTCCCACGTCACATTTGTTTTGGAAAGATTTTCTTTGAATCAGAATTTTTTTTCGTACAACCTGTAACTATTTTATGCTCGTTTTTGTATTTCCAGTTATATGGAGCAGATGAACTAGGTAAATGGTGTTTATCTTATCTGGCTTGTCATTATAAAGAAATTCACCAGAAACATCATAAAGCATTTAAAGTTCTGCAGAAAGACAATCAAGAATACATTGAGAAACATCGCTGGCCTCCTGTATGGTAAATATATATTTTATAACTTGTATTCCAGATCTTGTATGTCTGATCTTGTATTTGGTGCTACGGTGGCTGAGTAGCTATGGTGCTGGCTCACATCCTGGAGATTTTGAGTTCAATCCTGATGTTGGCAATTGTTTTGACCACTAAGATACACAAACCAACCTCCTAACTCTGTTGGCCTTCTGCCTCTAAATCATGAATATTTACCAAAACATGGCAGACAATTTCAATTCACATCTTCTTCGATTCTAGACCCAAAAATTAATAAGGGGAGAAAACGGGACAGAGAGAAAAATTAGTTCGGAAATGGTGGAATTTAATGGTGGTCTGCATCCACATATTTTTTTTTCCAACATATCTGAGTTATCTTCCCTGACACATTATTTTATAAAAAATGTTTGATTTCTTTATGGTTGATGAGTAATTTACTGGCTTTAATCTATCCATTTATTTTCAAGTTTGGGCTGCAGTTATCAATTTTTAGCGTGTAAAGAACAACTGTTTGACTTAGACAAAAGCACATTCAAACAAGCATGAAGCTAATGTTCTATGTGTGCATTCTTGAATTGGCATAGTTACCAGACTATAAAGAAATGAAATGAAAAGAAATGGGGTTTAACGTCCTACTGTTCTGCTCCAAACTGGGTTAATGAAGACGGGCATACGCCATACAGTGTGCTATGAGGGAAATTTTGCCTGGACAGCGGCATTACAGCCTACTCTTATGATCGAATTTTAACTGTCAAGCGATCTTTTACATACACACCAATGTGTAAAAGGGATCTCAGTTTTTCATCCCATCCAAACAACTAGACAGCTCTCCTTGTCAGGCCCTCCGTCCTGCATCACTGACAAGGGGAGGACCACACCGAAAAATCTAGATGAAGTTTCTCAGCCAATGCAGGGATCGAACACCCTACCTCCAGGCTAGCGAGGCATTGTCTTACCCACTTAGCCAAAACTATAAAGAAGAATTAGTCTATAGATGAAGTTCTAAGCATTAAATGCATATCACCTTTATCTACCTGCAATAAAAAGTTAAAATCTAACTTATCGTGGTAAATATATTGACCTGTAATACCTATAGAGATTGACCTGTAATACCTATAGAGATTGACCAACAATACAGTGCTTGGCCTACAATATACATAATGATTTGCCTATTATAGACATCGACCTGTAATACTTATAGTGATTGACCTACCATAGATATACATTGACCTACGAAAGATATAGAGATTGGCCTATAATATAGACATTGACTTACTACAATAGGTATAAAGACTGGGCTATAATTTAGAGATTGACCTACACTAGATAAATAGATTGGCCTAGAGATTATATAGACTGGCCTATAATATAGAGATAGAGATTGACCAATAAAAGACTAGCACATTACATGTTGGTGCATATATTTCATTCCAGGTATCTGAAAGAAGTGGAACATTTTGAGAAAGCCTCCCAAGCTTCTTCTGGACATTTTGAACAAAAACAACGACAAGATTTCAATAGATGGACAAACTGTTCCAGTGGTTGTTTATGTTTTTGTAGAAGAGGACGTGCTCACTTTGATCGTGGCGACAGAATAGATATGCCGATATGAAGAGTTGACAACTCTAATACCACCAAATTAACCGATTTTATGCTGGATTGAATTTTGAGGGATTAGTTTTTTTTAAAATAAGCCCTGTCTTAGTATTATAGTCCTGGACTAATGGACAGTTGTAGTAATAAAACCAAAACCAAAACAAGTGTGTTTTGAGTTGTGAAGTACAGTAATATTTAGACATACGTATAAAATTCAGTCTAGTATTAGAAATAGTTATTCAATATTAGGATTTATGTAACAATTCTGCGCTCCGTAATGCCATAAGAAATGGTCTAAAACCGATAAATGTGAGAAATATGCCGTGGATAATTATATATTTAACTTCATTTCGAAGTTTATTGTATTACAACTCAAATTATCATGGTCTTTGTGTTTTTTTATAGAGCATGTGGTAATATGTGTGAGTATGATTTTACTACGACCAATTCAGCTCTTTATTTGTCTTTAACCAAGTAAGAAATTTCTCTAATAAAAGCTATTTAAATAGCCAAAAGGGGAATATTTCATAAATAAATATTAGAAGCCCTACTATTTCTTACACCATGCTGACAAAACGGTATAGACACATGACACGATACCCTACCATAAATAAAACAACATGAAATAAGTTTTTGTGCATTATGAAAAACGACCGACTGAAAAGTTTGAAGTTGAAGCCCTGGTATGAAGACGGGTGGGGAGGGTGGGGATTTTCATTTATGGAGGACACAGAATGTTTACAGCTAGTATTGTAACTCGTGAAGTTGTTTGTTGGATTCAGGAATTCAAATCAGAAGTATTTATTCATATAAGTCCTGTTCTAAACAGAACAATGTATTGATCTATTGTAATTTGAAGTAGTATTATTTAAGATATTTTGACGATGTTATATTATTGCTATGACAATGACTTCTGTGATGTAGCTGAGGAGGTAGATTTATATCTGTTTAGCTTTGTATTTCTTTGTATATCAGACGATCATTGTTGCACTGAAATAAAACCTAAATATATATTTTAACCCCTTTTAACATACATTATATCAAGTCATAACATTAGGCTTGTTATTATACTGTATGTCCACTGGTATTTTAGATAGTTAGTAGCATGGAGCCATAATATGCCAGGGGAGGGATTAGAGAAGGAAAAAAGTTTGGATAGGTTTTTTTTAGTCATAATGTAATATTCACACATATGCAACCAATGTTCATGTATGGACTGTATAAATAGATCTTCGATCTTCCCATTCTTCAATGCAATTCTCACTGTCCAGCGTTCAACTCAGCTTTTGGCTTGTGCACTTTATCTGCCTTGACCTATGGACTGGGACGCAAATCAAATAATTTTGAAATACAGCCCTTGAAACTATATATATGTGGACTAAAGGGCAGACAACTCTGTTAGTGTGTGTATTATATCTCTACATACTACTGTAGTTGAACTATTAGAATGAATTGATCAAGAACTATATTTGTAGACTGGAAGGGCAGATAACTCTGCATGTGTGTATATTTTATCTCTATATACTACTGTAGTTGAACTATTAGAATGAGTTGATCAAGTAGAGTGGTAGTAATAGTATATATATCCTACAATATTAATATAATTGAAATGATATGGTTATTTATATTTCTATATTTCCCACCATATTATTGAGAGCACTTTATACCTTGTCATATCCTGTTAATAACTGCCTTGTTTATATCCCACTTAATATACCATACAATATGTGCACTTATTATTTTAATGATATATATAAACACTGTTTTAATTAGATAATATTGTAGATATTAAACTGTATGTATTAGCAGATATTGTAGGGTGTTATATATAACAATATATGCATTTACTACATTAATAAATAAACACTGTTTTGATTAGCACTTAGTGTAGATATTAGTGTATTAGATACATTATCTCCCATTGTTTTATTCTAGGCTATATAAAGACAGTTATAAATAACCCTTCTTATTCAAATTTATCGTTTAAAAAAACCCAAACAAACTTGTATGTCATTTGTTTACAAAGGGCAAAATAAAAGGGGACGGGGTTCAGTTAGCAGAATGATTTAACTCCTGCACTTCAGATCATAAGGTGTGTCATTGAGTCAAGTTGTGTGGTTTTCAGTTCGCCTGTCAAACCTTGTGGGTTTTCTTCAGGTCCTACAGAATGATTAAAATAATGATAACTATTTATCAATCTGCTGATATGTTTTTATAATTAAATATTCCAGTTACTGTGCAAATTGTAAATAGCTTGTTCAGATTTATACACTGTAACCTGGTTATCATTTAATCTTGTGTATCTAGCACTAATTTCTTTTACATTCGTTTAATATCAATTCTTTGTTTAAGAATTCATAAAAAAACTGTTTAAAATCACTAAAAATCATCCAGTTTAAAGCTGACCATTCTATTTTGATAATGAGTGTCCAATTTACAAGTGTTTAATTTCCCAGTCACTGTTAAAATATAAACAACCCAATTGATTATTGATGTATAATGATTAATGATTAATTTTTTAACAATGGTCAGAAAATTAAATACTTGTAAATTGGACACTCATTATCAAAATTAATCAGTCAGCTTTAAACTGAACACAAGTACAAATTAGATGATTTTTTGTTGATTTTAAACGATTTTTACAAATTTTTAAACAAAGATTTGATATTCAACGAATGTGAAAGAAATTAGTGCTAGATACACAAGATTAAATGATATCCGGGTACACTGATACATGTCATCATTGTTCCTTCTAGGTTGTACACACGCACATTTCGTAATGAATGCACAAAGACAATTAATATGGGCATAAATTTTAGGCCATAACATTTTTATGAGGCACGAGCGATATGCTGTGTGAAAATTATCTTGAAATAATTTTTAAGTTTAAATTGTTTCAATGGCATTTAATAATTGAACTGGAATATACAGGTGACAATTCTATTGAATACAATTACTGCTTATTAAACATGCATTATGCAAGAGCAAAATCTGCTTATTACAAGTCTTTCTTTAGGCCTGAAATGTTATCTAAATTATCAATTAGACATTAACTTATCCAGACCATAATAAACTCTCGATGTCAAGGCTAGCCTTCGATGTTGGCTGGATTAGATTCCTATATGCCGCTAACGGCCAATGATAATTAAATCAGAAAAAGTGGATAATCGAGACTTAGCTGTTTATATTAATGATTTTAGTAATGATGACCAAGACTATGCAAAAATTTCACCTGCTTCTTTCTCGGCTCATAGTGGATCAATTTGACTGAAATTTCCAGGAAATTACATTTACACTATCTAGTTTTTAACTATTATAGCGAGAACTGTCATCTCTTTATCTTATCTCCCATAATGTATCTTTAATGAGTGATGTTTCAATAATGACTAGAGAAGCCTAATCGAAACGTCACTCAGTAATAAGCAGTAATTGTATTCCATAGAATTGTGACCTGTATAATTTTATGTTTACATTTCAACATGTTCTATTGTCACAGGAATAAAATGTTTGTGCACACTGATAACCAGAGATGAAGAGGGAACATTGCATGATATCTATTAATCCTGTATTTAATTACTATATGTACTATAACTTAAGCTGGAACTTGCCATTTCTTCATAAATTTGATTTTATCTATATTTACAGTAATTAATGACTGCATCCTTTTTGACGTACATCACATTCATTTCAACCATAATTTAGTATAATATATGCACAACAATACTATTAGCAAATTTTCATGTATCATAGTACACACCTGCCGAATTGTAGATATCAATTTATCGTTTGCAAATGCAATATATAATCGCAATATCTTATCACTGCTAGTTTTCTCAGTTTTGTCCGCTTTTGCACTTGATCTGAATGTCACAGATTTTTGGGGTTAGTTTTTCATTTGAAGAATGATAAAGCATGCAATGCAGTGTTGGGGATAAAAGTTCACGATAGTTTGTGTGACGAATTTTCAGCTGATATAATTGTCAGGCTTGCTGGGACACGATTTAGTCTTGTTTTTTTTTGTTATTATTATTTATATACATATATACCAGTATTTATCATTATATAACAAGTGCTTTCATGTATCATTATTTTGTGTTTTTCTATATTTTTGTGCAATATTATCTGAATCATTCTAGTGGCTTCAGTAATAAAATCATTTATTGAAATATCTCCTCTTATATTTAGTATATTAGGGGTGGGCGGGGGGGTCTAGTGGATTGTGAAATCACAAGGTCTGTAAATTGAGTCAAATGGCGTTGTCACTAGAAATAGGGTCGCCTGTCCAACCTCATGGGTTTTCTCCGGGTCCTAGGGTTTCATCCCACTGCTAAACACCACTACATGCAAGCAAATTATTGAAATAAAATTGAACCATATATTGTATCGAGTGGACATTAAACCCCATTTCTCTCTATATATATTTAGTATTAGACAGCCATTTTGCATTGTGTGTTGTAATCTATTTGGGAGCCACAGTGGCTCAGTGAGATAAGTCAAGACACGTGTCCACGAGGGAGGGTCCAGAGGGGGTCTGCCACTGGTGTAGAGAATATTTTTTCTCTCCCACATTCATGGAAATAACACCGTTTTGACTCACTCCACTGTAATCCTATACATATATGCACCTAAATCAGCAGAAATATTGTCTCAAAGTTTCCGAATTTATCAAATTATGAGTAGTTCCCCCCAACTGTGACTTTGTCTCCACCTTGGACCCCATCCTCCCGCTGCTCAAATTCTTGGACACACCCCTGAAGTCGCTGGATTTTCCAGTCTAGTTTCTGCTTGTTTGTAGTGCAGGATGGAGGGCCTGACAAGGAACAGCGTCCAGTTATGTACAGATTGACATATACATTAAAAAGAACATGGCATTTGGGAAAAACGCTGCTGTCCTGGCAAAATTTCTCTCATGGTGTATGTCTGTCTTCATTAGCTCCATTACAGGAGAAACGAACCATGGTAAATCTAATTTCATTTCATTTTGATTGAACATTTTGGAATTGAATTACCTCAAACCCGAGAATTGTGACAATAATCGACTGAGTAGAGAGAGAGAGAGAGAAATGGGGTTTAAAGTCCACTCGACACAAACTAGGTCATTTCGGTTCAATTTTATTTCAATAAATTGCTTGCACGTAGGGGAGGAAACCGGAGGACCCGGAGAAAACCCACAAGGGTTGGACAGGCGACCCAACTCCTTGTCACATACAATCGGAAATCGAAACCACGCCAATTGACTCAATGACAGACCTTATGATACAGAGCATGCTAACTATTCAGCCATCCAACGCCTCTGACTGATTAAGAAAGTATTTCAACCAACCATGGCAGCTGAAACATATTCGCTGCGTTTAATCAATCATAAATCTACTCTATCTGGGTTGGGACAACTCCTCAATATGCGCTTGAAAAATTCAGAATTTTAATATGGGCTGCCCTTATGAGTCATAATCCAATAAAGAATCTCTACAGATTTTAAAAATATCCATAAAGGACTCTGACCTGTGAAATGGTCGGATGACGGACAAAGGTGATGACAATATAAGACCATATTAAATATTTGTGTATAAAATTTTGGCTGGTCAAGTGATTTAATGTGTGCGCTTTAGATCATCAGGTCTGTCATTGTGTCACATGAGTAAGGTGGCCTGATGAACCTCGTGGGTTTAGTCCCACTGCTATATAAAGATCCCTACTTGAAAGCGATTTGTTGAAATGAAATGGTACCATATTGATAGTCCCAATATGTTAAACATACATTATGCAAGAACTAAATCTGCCTATTGTAGGTCTTTCTTTAGGCCTGAAATGTTATCTAAATTATTAATTAGACATTAAGTTAAAACTTATCCAGGCCATAATCAACTCTCAATGGCATCGGATAATTCTGATATTAAACTGATTAGAACAGTTCAGCCATATTTTGATTTAAGCTAAAAATGGAGGAGCGAGACTAAGCTTCGAATAACCAGTACAGTGGTTGAAATTATTGCACACGCCTTGTCAACCTTCAAAGGCTAATATCTTCGCTGGCAATAGAGTAACTTGAATGAAATTTCCAAATTATTAATTTTACATTATCTATTTTCGAATTATCTAAATCTTACATAATGTATCTTTAAAATCCATTTTTCTCTCTCTGTAAAAGTTATTGCAACAGAATTAAAAACATCAATCTGTTTTCTTATAGATGTGTTTATTTCCACTCATATAAAACATACATGTATATATTTATATATCAACCAAAATATACATAAAACACAAGCTAAATAAAATATATTCTTAACACATTGACTGACAATTCTATTGGTTTAAGCTACTGGCCAGAATTATTCGCTCCTTTGGATATTTTACAAAACTCCTAACGGTCTGTTGATGGAATTCTGTTAATGAATGAAATCAAGTGGGATTTAATGTGTTACTGTTCTATACAAACTTGGCTTATGAAGACAAAATTCTAACAGCTTGGAAATTATTGGCTCTGGAGCAAATTTTTAAAAATCTAATCATCTGTTGCTGGAATTCTAATAGGAAATGAAATGGGATTTGACATCATACTTTTCTCCCCTGATAAAGACTGAATTTTAACATGATAGAATTTAATTGGTCTTGAGCAAATTTTACACAAATCTCAACTACCGAGTATCGCTATCTAGAATTTTAACAGGAAATGAAATCAAATGGGATTTTACTTTTCAGCATCAACTTTGCTGATGAAGTAAGAATTTTAACACATGGAAATGATCAGGTAGATATATAATTCACAAACACAAACACAATATCGAGTGGATATTAAACCCCATTTCTCTCTATCTCTCATCCAGATTTTTCGGCGTGATTACCCCTTGTTAGTGACGCAGAGCGGTGGGCCTGACAAGGACAGCTGTCTAGTCGTTTGGATGGGATGAAAAACCGAGGTCCCGTGTATACATTGGCATGCACGTAAAAGATCCCTTGACAGTTGGAATTTGATATAAGAGTAGGCCGTAGTGCCGCTGTCCCGGCAAAATTTCCTTCATAGCACACTGTATGGTGCATGCCCGTCTTCATTAGCCCAGTTCGCAGCAGAACAGTAGGAAGTTAAACCCCATTTCATTTCATTTCATTTCACCAGTATTTTTATCATGTCGGCAGAGACCAGTCAATGTGTTAACACCTTTCCTTAACATTCACACATCTTTTATAAGGGCATGCGTAGAATAATACTTACAATATATTACAACATGGCCGGATTAAGTAAGAACAAATCTCCGATAACACAGTTACATCCAATTACAATAGTTTAAACATTTAACATGTGGTATTAGTTACATTTACCGGTAAGTTTAATTGACCATTTTCGAAACAGGTCAAAATTACTTCTACCTACAACGCATCAAACAGCCCAAGTTACAGAACTAGTATGTGTGAAATAGCTTTATCTAACGTCCGCTTCCACCAAGGTGATATCGCAGACAAGCAGAACTAGTATACAGCCAGAGCTATTTATCTGATTGGGGCCGTTCAGGGCGCTACCCGGTACAGTAGTAGTTCTGACTGGTCCCAATGCTTAAGGGTTAAAATTACTCCTCCCAGGACTGGCTCAAACAAATCTAGAGCTATTTATGTGACTGTGGCAGTTTGGGGCGCTACAAGGAGTAGTAGTTTAGACCGGCCCCAGTGCTAAGAGTTTTTTCAGTGCAGATGAATCAGAAATGTCTTTCCAATTACAGAGTGATTATATAGTCCCCATTACTCTAGCCTCATACATGTAATACTTTAAATATATTTGCTGCCTCACAGTTTATTGCCCATGTAGCTCTCATACAACTTACTACCACATAGTAGACCAACTCCATTTGTCACTTCCAGAAGCAGTAGAAGCTCTTCCAGATAAGTTTATCTACCATTGACGTCATATACGTCAATGATATCTAAAGTTGCGGTATTCCGCCATTTGGTTTTCTGTCTTTTCTAGGTAAGGACTGGAAGAGACGGAATAACTTCTGAGTGTGGAAGAGTCCAAATGAAGTGCGCAGTAGAGATCTTCTGGAAGGGAGAGTAGACAAATCATGTCTGCCTCATTTGTAATGTAGGCATCTTTTTTACACGATATAGAAATCATGGATTAAGAAAAACCAAAGCATAATTTGAACGAATATTTTCAGTATTGCACGAGGTATTATTCCATTTATTACAATACTTCTTTTGTGTCATTTCAACCTTTGTTCATTGGCAAGGCCATATTAAAAACAGCATTGAGTGGCTTCTTTGAAAATTTGTGACAGCTAACGAATGAGTTACGTATTATCAATACATCCTAGAGATGGTATGATGAATATATTCTTGTGTAGAGATGGTATTAATACATGACAAGTATATTCTATCAGGAATCTTGGGTAGAAGAACTGGACTTCATCTTCTTGGGTCTATACCTACAATATAAAACTATACTGGAATAAAGATTTAAACGGCATCTTTGACTCGGGTGAAAAAATAAAATGCTGACTTAACGGAAGTCTCAGATTGACATTTGAGTGTTGGTTACAATCTGATTAAAACACAGATTCTATTTCGTTTCGTTTTTTATAGTTCAAAATTTCGTTTTACTCTGTATATTTCACTTACCTGTCCCATTCTTTGTGATTAAGTTTAGTGAAATCATCTTCTGAGGCTATATCTTCTAAATATTTACTCAGTTTTAAAAGTTCTGTGTCTTTTTCACGATTAAAATGAGCTTTTCTAAAAGCTTTAATCTGAAAAAAAAAGGAACATTTTTGTCAGTCTAATAACAAAATAAGGAGATCTAGATGGCAGGGCAGGTGTTAATACCATCTTTCCTCCATCATAAATATATCTGATTAGATATTATAATTAACAATTATCTTGGAAGTAAATCTGATATCAATTTTGTCTGAGGTATAGTGCCATGAAATGAACCTTTAGCTCTACCAAGACTAAAATTGTGGCAATTTTCGTAAGAATCTACCTCCTGAAATGACAATCCCCTTTGTTGTTGTTGTTTATTACAGATTTAACGTCCAATACAATAAATATGATATATGGAGAGGTTGATTGAATTAAATTATTTACACTTGAAAATTGTTAAAAACACAAATTAAAAAAGCCCTCGGATATCAAAAGTCCCTTAAAACACACTTATAAATTTACTGTCGTGAGAAGAGTGTTCTTTTTAAATAAATTAGATTTATTGAAGGAATATTAACTAATGTACAACAAGTTAAAACACTGAAACGAATTTGTTGAAGATTTAGGAAAATATTTTGCAAGAATCTTTAAGAATTAGCCGGTCGTTGACCTAGAGAAACCTACTGTTGGTTCCGATTCAGAGATTCTCTGGAAATCGGAGGAAGGTCAATCAAAAGATACTTATGATTATAAAAACACTTACCCGTAATCCTGTCTGTGGGTTCATTATAAAATTTCTTCTAATATCATCAAACATAATAGTATTAGCAGCACTCCATTGTTTAAACTTTCCCCATACTACACCTAGTGGTTTCACCTAAAATATATAGCATTGCTTGATAAACACTAGCAAAGCCGCATTGACACGTCACTCAGTAATAAGCAGTAATTGTATTCGATGGCAATCTTTATTTACCAGGATTTTCTGTCCACCCATCTTTAATTTACAACTGTCAAGGCAAAAGGACAAGGAGGACTTTGGTTTTTCCTTCCCTTCCAAAAGACTATGCACACCATCCTGATCAAGATTCTATGTACCAGAAGTATGGAATTTTGTTTCCTTGACTTGATAGGGAAATGTACATCATGTCTGTCTATAATGAATTTTTTATCAAACTTACTTACCATCCAGTTCTATGAAAGAAAGTCTAGAGTAACTTACATCTATGAGACCATATTTGGGCGTATGTACAGATATCATAGCATCACTATCTAAATAAAAGGCGATTTTATAATCACTGTGTTTACTGACACCTAAACCATTCATCTTAGTTTCAATCCACTTCATACCAGTAGCAGCTATAAATAAATAGACAAAGATAGAGAAATGTCCACTCCACTGAACACAAACTAGGTCATTTCGGGACTAACATATGGTTCAATTTTATTTCAATAATTAGCTTGTCAACTGTAATCTAAATATTTGGATAACTATAGATTATTTTTATTAGGGTTCCAACTCCCAGCTGTTATAATATAAGTATTAAACTTACACCATATGACTATATCATAATATTGATAAGCTGTGGTTAAAAACTCATGTAGATACGGTCTCATTAATTCATTAGGTGTTTCAGCTACAGATCTGTGATCTAAAATATACAATTCATTAAACTAAAAAAAAAAAATACCAGACTACATAATTTTGGTTGATGATTTTTAGAAAAGAACAAGTTTTAATATCAAAGAGAGAGAGAGAAATGAAGTTTAACATCCACTCAACACAAACTAGGTCATTTCGGGACCAACACATCATCCAATTTTATTTCAATAATTTGCTTGCGCGTAGGTGTCTTTAGCAGTGGGAGAAAACCCACGAGGTTGGACAGGTGACCCTACTCCTTGTCACGTCCAACAAGGTAATCGAAACCACGCGAGTTGACTCAACAATAGATCTTGTGATACAGCGTGCACGTGCTAACCATTCGGCCATCCAACACCCCTATGAGGGAAATTTTGCCCGGACAGCGGCACTACGGCCTACTCTTATATCGAATTCCAACTGTCAAGGGGTCTTTTACGTGCACGCCGATGTGTACACGGGACCTCGTTTTTTTGTCCCATCCGAACGACAAGACAGTTGGCCTTGTCAGACCCTCTATCCTGCATCTCTGACAAGGTGAAAGTTCTATCAATCTTGATAACTGAATGCATGTGATTTGATATATGAGTTTGTTGTTTATTATTTGAAATGTTCAATGGACTATCCAACCAGATGATATAACAATAACGAAATCTTACCAAATAAAGTATAATCAATATCTAATACTAATAATTTCTTCCCTTCTCTTGGTTCATTTAATATTTTGATTTCATAATCTTTGATTCTTTTCTCAATCTTAGCTAGAAACTCTTCTCTGCAATAAATACAAACAATTAATACTTTTAGAGAGTATTGGTCACTCCAGCCCAAATGGTCTAATTTTTGACTATAATGAATATTGTTCTAAACAAAATACAGTCATATGTCAGTGTATATTGTAACTGTGAGTCGGGTTGTTCATGTAGACATGCAAGGACCTGTGGGAAATGTTGTCTCAATCTACCAGTAAATCATGTATTCTGCATACTTCCAAGTGCCTATGCAAGGTAGAGGTCATTTTCCCTCACGTTATTTTGTCAAGGCGGAGAAAATTTAAGCTAGAAAGATACAAAAAATTGGATTTTTCTGTGAACAATGATGATCTTTTTTAATCACAAGCAGTGGCTAGAAATAAAATGTTGGCCTACAAATCGATTGACATGACAGGTGATTTCAACAATAAGACGCAGTCCTGAGTCCTGACTTCTGCAACACAAATTCGACATATACGTAAAACAATTGTTAAACATACATTATGCAAAAGCTAAATCTGCCTATTGCAGGTCTTTCTTTAGGCCTGAAATGTTTTCTAAATTATTAATTAGACATTAATTAACTTATTGAGGCCATAATCAACTCTCGATGGCATCGGATTTCTCCAATATTAAATAGATTAGAACAGTTCAGCCATATTTTGATTTAAGCTAATAATGGAGGAGCAAGGCTTAGCTTCGAACAACCAGTACAGTGGTTGAAATTATTGCACACGTCTTGTCAAACCTTCAAAGGCTAATATCTTCGCTCGCAATAGAGTAATTTGAAACCTTAGAGAACCCTTCAATCACAATCAGACAACCTCTTAATTAAGCCCTTTTCAAAAACCAACCCCGGTGATAGATCTTTCGCCGTCGGTGCTCCGAAGTTATGGAATTCAATATCAAACGAAACCAAAAGCGCAAATTCTATTAAAGGTTTTAAAAAGTATATCAAAACCAAAATTTTTAATCAAATATACAACTGATTGAATACGGTTCTAGCTGTGTTTGTGTCAGACTTTTACCATGTGTACTAAATAATGTTCTCCGTTTTATGTTTATGTCTTTTTTATGGATTAGTGTGTTGTGATTGTTGTAATTTAATATTACTATTAGTTGTACTTATGTAAAGCGCCCGAGAGCAGCTCGCTGATTTGAACTGTTGGCGCTATATAAATCAATTATTATTATATACCTGTTTTCTATGGCTATTTCATCTTCCTCAATATCAAAATCATTGACAACTTCTGGCATATCTTCTGGTGGTTCAGCTACTTTGGCCTGGAAACATTCAAATAAGATCAAACATTTTGTTAAAATAAATTATCAAAAAATCCAGAACAATACATAATGTGTTTCAGGTTTGTATCAGTTACTCCCCTTGAAAATCTTCGGAGAGGAGTTCTATTAAATTCCCTCATGAGTTTAAACGGCTCCACACTCCATATCGGAATTAAGATGGGCACAAATGTCACTTTAAAATTGATGCCGTGAACAAATGGCTTTTACTAATAAAAATAAAATTGGTCCTGTTAAACTCCATCCATCCATCCATCTCTCTCTTCCCCTGTTGGTTAGGTTTTTGTATTTAATAGTGATGGGTATTAGAATTAGTTACATTTATACACCAGTAGTGACATCTTTTACAGCTAGTTAAAAACACCTGTTAATTAATGACTACTCTATATAATTTCAAACCACTTTCTATACCTAATTAATGATATACACAAATATTGGTTAGGTTTGTGTATTCAATAGAGATGGGTATTAGAATTAGTCACACATTCACAAGTGACATGTTTACACCTAGTTAAAAACACCTGTTAATTAATTACTACTGTATAATTTACTAACAACTTTCTGTGGAAATGTTGTCTACGATATCACCTTGTTGGAACTGGAGGTAAAATAAAGCTATTTCACATACATTTTGTGGATAACGGGGGGCTAGTTCAAAGTAAATATGACTTGCTTCATTTTAATGGTATAAATTTTCATTTGTACCAGTAAGCTTTACATACATGTAATACCGTGAATGGTTTGAATTTTACAATTTGTTTAGTCAGAATGTTGCAATTTGAGATGCTGAATAAGCATTCTGTAAGAATCTGTTTAATATATTGTGTGGTTGCCCTTTAATTGCTGCAAAAAGGTAAGTCAGCTACCAGTATTTTAGAGTAATGTTTGAATGACTATCTCCTCTTGTCTTGTAATTATATCATAAATTGATTCCCAAACTTTTGATATAGATACATGTATAAATGTATATTTCAATGACTGAATCCTACCAATTCTTCTTCTCTTGTTCCCATCATCATAAGTTTTGTTTTAGGTTTCAGTTGTAAACTTGATAACTGTATTTCTTTATCTGGTAATTTACCTGGGGAATAAAAGGTATATATTTTACTATAATAGCATTGGTTTAACATCCACTCGACAAAAACTAGGTCATTTCGGGACTAACATATGGTTTTAATTTTATTTCAATAATTCGCTTGCGCATAGGGGTCTTTAGCAGTGGGAGGAAACCAGAGGACCCGGAGAAAACCAACGAGGTTGGACAGGCGACTCTACTCCTTGTCACGTACAACTGGGGATTCGAAACCACGCCAGTTGACTCAATGACAGGCCTTACGATGAATTATAATGACATACAGTGTTTGTAGCAGAGAGCTAGAGCTAAAGTACTGGTACTGTCATATATAATATTACTATTACACTGTTTGTAGCTTGCAGGAGCTAACATGGAAGTAGTTGGATGGTAATATAGCTTTTTTAGCAATGAGCTAGCAGGACAGTAGAATTATAAATGAAATGAAATGAAATGGGGTTTAACGTCCTACTGTTCTGCTCTGACTGGGCTAATGAAGATGGGCATACACCATACAGAGTGCTATGAGGGTAATTTTGACCAGGCAGCAGCACTATGGCCTACTCTTATATCGAATACCAACTGCCAAGATATCTTTAACATGCACGCCAATGTATACATAGGACCTAGGTTTTTAGTATCATCTGAATGACTACACAGCTGTCCTTGTCAAACAGCAGAATTATACTATCAAACTCATCACAATAAATATACTCAACAAATTAACACTAAACTTATTCAAAGATGCTATTAAGTCGATAAAGAGAGAGAGAGAGAGAGAGAGGGGGGGGGGGGTAGCATCTAGATAATTTTGGGACTAACATATGGTTTAATTTCTTTTCAATAATTCACTTGTGGCTAGGGGTCTATAGCAGTGGGAGGACCCAGAGAAAACTCACAAGGTTTGACAGGCAACCCTACTCCTTGTCACATACAACCGGGGAATCGAAACAACGCCAGTTGACTCAATGACAGACTCTATGATACGGCATGCACACGCTAACCATTCAGCCATCCAACCCCCCAGTCAATAAAGAGAAATCTAGACTCAGCTAATTTATCTTTTTATAAATTATTGTTTATGAATTTTATTTAGTACAGTACATATACATGTTCTTTGAAATTGTTGTGTCTCAATCCCCTCCACCCCCACCAACCCCTAACTGATAGTGTTTGTGTCCACAGTTACATAATTAAACAATTCTCTCCTGATAAATACTTGGTAGTAAATAGTGTACATCTGGTGAAGCGATCTCAGAATCTGATAAATATGCACTGTCCATAATTGACAATGACATGACTTTAAATCGCCTGTATTATAGCGATGAAGTAAATAAAAAAAATTGTGTCATTTTCCACGAATTTCATAAGATAAATATATTTCTGTTATATTATATCATGTCTGCTTAATTCAGTTAATTTTAAATCTACAACAAAATTACTTTGGATCATTTGAAAGTACAAATATAAATTGTTTATTTCGTTTTCCGCTTATTCTTTGTTTATTTCAGTTGCATTCCATGCTTGGATACCTTTTACTTTCAGGCCTAACAATTTCTGTCGTTCAGGTAAAACATTGGTCTGCTTGTAAATAGCTGCTTTTAAGTCTGAAATTGTGTCTGATTCTAATAAACCAACAATACAATACTCCTGGCCGCTCCATTTTACAATCAAATCTCCCACTTCGTTAGCCATTTCCGTCTGCTTTATTTTGATTTTTACAGCGAGCACCTGCTTCCGGTTTTTACGTCATCTCTCACCTCGACCTACCAGTCTTAAAGTTCCACGATCAAAGGTACATTGCTGCTATATTGACTTTAATGGCATTTTATTCTATCTTTATTATGTCGAACCCCGATGCCCTTGCCTTTAAATTAGATAATTAGTTTATTTTGAGCAGTTTAACCTATCCATTCCATTGTTCGAGTTTGGCCTCTTTTTTTTGTGTAACAAATTGTAACTTTTCTTGCTCGATTTAATGGAGTTGCCTCCCTTAGCTCTTTATTGACGATCAAACGTCAAACTCCTTCTCTTTCCTAACTATATCAGGACTAACACACGATAGAAAATATCGACTCTTGTCTACGCCAGTGGAGGGAATTTTGCAAAGAAAGTGACATTTCTACCTGCGAAAGATTCTTTTAATGTGCTAAAATTATCAAGGTTCCGCTGGAAATGGTAAACTCCTGGCTTGAAATGTTAAAAACATCTTTTTCAAAAATAAATATTTTTAAATTACAAACATTATCAATAACAAAAAGTAAAAATTAGACTATGTTTAAACAAAAATAAATAAAACGCGAATTGCAGTTAAAACCCTTAGCTGAATATTTTAACCCAATAATATTTACACATTTGGCTTCATTGCCTGGAATAAAACTATGGTGTCGGTAATTTAACAAATTTTCAATATTTTCAACTAAACATTGCCAACATACATGAAAAAATTAACTTTATTGATGTGTCTCACTGATTTCATCAAATATCATTCATAGGTGGTTATGCTAATTGGTAAACGTTGTACGGAGGCCTTTATCGGTGTAAGGCCACTGTTCACCCCCTATGACGGGGGGCTGGGTTGTTGAATGGTTAGCGTGCGCGCGCTGTATCATAAGTATCATGAGTCAACTGGCGTGGTTTCGAATCCCCGGTTGTACGTGGCAAGGAGTAGGGTCGCCTGTCCAACCTCGTGGGTTTTCTCCGGGTCCTCCGGTTTCCTCCCACTGCTAAAGACCCCTACGCGCAAGCGAATTATTGAAATAAAATTAAACCATATGTTAGTCCCGAAATGACCTAGTTTGTGTCGAGTGGACGTTAAACCCCATTTCTCCCTCTCTCTCTCTCACCCCCTATGACAATTCCTGTATAGTGGTCGATACCGGTATCTTGGGCGCATATATTTGAAGATAAGGAATGGGAAATATTTTTGTATTCTGCTTGACATAGTACTTTAAACGGCCCGTACAATTTTAAGCTGTTTTATTAGTTCCTCAAACACGCGAAGACAATGCAAATTCGGCAAACTACTTCTTTCAAAAGAGTTGTTTGCAAATTTGAAATATCAGTGAAAACAAAGAAGAATTCGACAAATAAAGGAGCAGAAATTCATTCCCGAAGAATGTGACGATCTACATAGCTTTAACTTTCATCGTTTCCAATATACGGTCCTAAGGGGAGGATTCTTTTTCAATTATTGACTTTGAAGACGGGCCTAGAATGTTTCACGTTCCGCCCACGCACCACGTGACCCATATCAAAAGGTGAGAGATGTATTGTATTTTAGACAGGTTGATATGAAGGAGGATAATAAGTACATTTATATATCAGCAAACCCAGTATTAGTGTAATGCGGATAGACTATAAACATTATTGAATAGAGTTTATTATTTTTATCTTGAGAAATATTAGAATATTAATACGCAAGAATCCGTAAAAAGAAAGGTAAAGTTGGAATACAGGTAAGTAGTAAATAGTTAGTATATATACATACTGTTGTTTATTATGTTTGACTTGTACTAACTGCACCTTATTTTATACACGTGACAAATCACAGGTTAACAACAGCAATAGGTTCCAAAACTTTATGACAGTCAATAAATAAAATTCATGATTGAATCTGTATAATTTTAACGTCCTGCTTTTCTGCACCAATCTGTCTAATGAAGACGAATATTCGCCATGCAGTGAAATGTACGCGAATTTTGCCAGGACAGCGGGGATTCCGCCTACTCTTCGTCGAATTCCAACTACCAGGGGTTCTTTGACGTGTTACGCCAATGTGTACACGGATGGTCTTCCATTTTGTGTCCCTTCCGCACGACTAGGCACAGACGCAACCCCTGACTAGCGGGGGAAGGTTAGGTCTAAATATTAAGGCCAACTGCAGATTTCGTCATGGTCGTGAGATGTAAAGAGGGTTAGGGCACGTGATTGTGGATTAGGGTAGCCCAGTTTACATCTCCTGACCTTTGACCATCGTGACCCCGACAGAAAAACAACATATATCAGTTATTAATGTTTATATTAAATAAAATTTAACGAGATATCAGTGATATTGTTTTAGCACACTAATTCAAAAACTATGAAATATTTATCACGTCACGCGGAACACCTGGTAACACGTCAGTTGATGATATCAGAGATACTGTATAGTGAGTGTATTAAGTCAATATCTATAGAATATTTCATGGCGGATCCAGGGGGGGGGGGGGGTCCTGGCATAATAATATTTTCTTTAAAAATGTTGACTCGTGCTTGTTTTGTGCCCTAATCACCCCCCCCCCCCTCCTCTGCTCAGGTACATATTTTTTTTGTAAATCAACACTTTTTATGAGAAAAGTTTCTCGGTCGTGTGCTTTATCCTCGTCATATGTGGGATAGGATGGGCACTCAAAGCACGAGATAATGATATAGACATTATGTGATATCACAATTAATGCTTTGCATCCATGAAATTGAATCACAATGTCATTGTATTAATTCAAATTAAAAATTGACGTCAAACGAGGTGTTGAATATCTCTGTTTAAAAACCTCAATGTGTACGTATATACGCCAAAATGACGATAGAGACAATGCGGGAAGGGGGAGGAGGAGAGAGATACATTGTCTCGAGAACCTGGCAAACCCCCTCCTGCAAAAATTCCTGGATCCGCCCCTGTATTTATCGTGAAATACGTCAAAACTTGTTTCAAAAAATGTATCATTTATTACATATTTTATACAACGGTGCTGAAGGTGATTAGAGCACAAATCAAGCACGAGTCAACATTTTAAAGAAAAATATTTTGTTTATGTTTTATTAGTGTAAGTTTTTAAATATATGAAGAGGGGTGGATTAGAATAAGAAAACAACTCATTTCCTGGCTCTTATAGTTTATAGATTGATCAAGGGCGTTAGAAAATACGACTCCATTATTTAATTGACTATAATAATGACTATAGAAGTGAAAGCGACTAGTGTATTGTTATTGTATTTTGAAGAGGTATGTACTAAAGTTCGGCTGTTTGATCTTCTCTACTTGTTCCTTTCTTTATTAGATACTTCATATAAATTCTACATACTTTGTTACTTGTTTGTCAAACCTGACTATAACTTTTCATTAATAACGACTATAGTCAACACACAAAACTTGTACCTATAAACTGCCGAACTTGAGGACCTACAACTTTCTCTATTCATTAGTCCTGTCCAAATTTTGTGGTATACTTTTAAATAAAATATAATATGGAATTGAGCTATATTTTGTCTCGATTTATTATGTTTTACAAATCTCACAAGTGTATTAAAGCTTTACTTGTATTAGTCTTTAGAACATAATATTTGGTGTGAGCAATCTATTTGTTGAGGGAAAGCAATTTGTACAAATTTGTAGAATGGGTTAAAGTTAAACAAATTTCTGTGTTATTTGCTATACAGTTGTCCCTACTTCGATAAACGGGCATACGCCATACATTGTGCAATAAGTGAAATTTTGCCCGCACAACAACGCTACTACCTGATCTTATTTCGAAATCCAACTGTCAAAGGGTTCTTTTACGATTTGTCGTCCCATCCGAAGGACTGCATCTTTAAGTCCTATGGCCGAAACGTACGCCCACTGTTTTGTGTCGCCTAGCCTTTCTGAATCCGCACCTGAAAGTTCAGATGGTTTTAAATCAGTTTGTTGTATTGATAATTTGCTTTTAAGTGCAAACAGGGGTCACCATTTTATTTATCTAAAGGCACATATGGTATTTAATAATTATCATAGAGAACGCGCGATAACACTGAACAATAAAACGGAATATTTAACAATGGCGTCAACTTATTAACTACAACAGCTCTCTACAAACACTCAATAATTGTCAATTCACATTGAACTTTCTCACTTTTTGTCGACGACATCTTCAACATCACACCATCGACTACTTGAAAGGCCATAATTTATTCATTTATCTCTTTGTATTTTTGTTATCTACATCATGCTATTTTAAAGGCGTGCTGTCGGAATCACATTCGATGAATTATTGTGACCCGCTCATCCTTTTAAAAGAGAAATTATCTATTTAATATATACTATTCTCCCCTTGAGTTCATCAGTAATACTCCTGTCCTGTAATTTGATCTTGAACGTCGATGGGATTCGGACCGTTGGTCAAATACCATCTAGCACCAACCAGGCTAATGAAGACGTGACTTGCACCACGCGGTGTGCTATGAAATGTTGGCCGGACCCCAGACAGCGGTGCTACGATCTACTGTTATTTTGATTTCCAAATGTTAGTGATAAATGGGGTTTAACGCCCATTCAACACAAAATAAAATTGAACCATTTGTTAGGCCCGAAATGACCTAGTTCAGAGGCGGATTCAACGGGGGCGCCACCCCACCCCCCACCCTAATTTTCGACAGTGCCCTTTTTTACTGCTGAAAGTGCCTTTTCTCAGACCCAAATATGTCCGTTCCCAACCCGTTGCAGGGATCTCAAATGACTCAAACCATCGACTCAAACACCTGGTCTAATTAATGCTTCCACTTTCAATCGAATTCTTGTTGTTTAGCTGACAGTGCCCTAATCCTATTATATAGAGTGACTATAGACAGATATCAATGATAGCATCTAGTGGAATCGGCGGCGTATACACTCATGCCCATTACCGACGCGCAAGAGTGCAACTTGATGTAGCATTGTGTGGACAGTACACAGTACAAGTTACAAAGTTTAATAGTGAAGTGGCTAGGGAATAGATTCGTCTTTTTCCCACCATGTATCAACTTTATATATTCCGTATTTAAGGAGTGAAATATACCATTTTAACAGTTTTCGAGTCGCATGTTCAACTGGCTTTTTTGCTCGATTTTAAGGCTCTTTTTCAGCGATTTCCAAGCGTTTACTTAGACGAAAATATCAGCCAAATAGCTCTTGGAATGGCTACAAATGCAAGGAAATGACGAAAAATTTTCTTGGGGGGGACCCCCCCCCCCCAAAAAAAACCCCACTCTCATCGGCGAGCCCCGTCTCCGCGGCCAGTGCCCTCATTTTGCGGCGAGCCCCACCCCTTTCAAAATTCCTAGATCCGCCCCTGTAGTTTGTGTCGAGTGGAACCCTCCCTCTCTCTCTCTCTCTCTCTCTCTCTCTCTTACGCACTGAGCTACCGAGGCTCCCGCACATAAAGAGAACGCATTCTATTCTATATAGGGGGGTTGGATGGCTGAATGGTTAGCGTGCGCGCGCTGTATCATAAAGTCTGTCATTGAGTCGACTGGCGTGGTTTCGAATCCCCGGTTGGACGTGGCAAGGAGTAGGGTCGCCTGTCCAACCTCGTGGGTTTTCTCCGGGCCCTCCGGTTTCCTCCCACTGCTAAAGAACCCTACGCGCAAGCAAATTATGTAAATAAAATTAAACAATATGTTAGTCCCGAAATGACCTAGTTTGTGTCGAGTGGACGTTAAACCCCATTTCTCTCTCTCTCTCTCTCTCTCTCTCTCTATTCTATATAGAACTTATCACACCTGTGGTTTTTAATGATTTACTATCATTTCTAGATACTATATCTATTGTATAAATTGACTTTGATGGACAAAACTGTTGTTAATTACAAAGTTTCAACAGTATACAATTCTACCCGTATATTGGTATACGGGATTTGTATTGTTTGTTGATTGAGTGTTTTGGCTGGAAATCAAGTACGATGAAAGGTGTGAGGTGTTTTTTTTTATTTTGTCACCGTGTTGAAGTTCGTCGACAAGTTCAACTAAAGGTCAGCGTTAATTATTTTCTATAATTAATTTTTTGCTTGAATATTTTCAAGCGGTGTCGACATGTTGAAATCATGCAAAGAATGTTTGATACATATGGTAGAATGTTTGCATTTAATTAAATCATATGCCGGTGATTATCTGAAAACTGATTTATTCTGCTTATGGTTTCGTGGTTTCTTGAATGCCCCACCAACCAGGCCCTTCACGTGTGTCTCAAAATACATAAATATGTACTATTTTAATGCAAAGATTGTTATTATAATGTACTTAGGCGTAGAAATGACATGAAATGAAATGAAATGGGGTTTAACGACCTACTGTTCTGCCCCGAACTCGGCTAATGAAGACGGGCATACGCCATACAGTGTGCTATGAGGGAAATGTTGCCGGACAACGGCACTATACGAAGTCCAACCGTCATGGGATCGTTAACGTGCATCTCTTGGGATGAAAATGGTTAATTTGGGTGCTGAAAAGTATGCCAATGAACCCAAGAGTAACAGTTTTGTAATGTTTAAATTTTTTCGTAGATTCCACTGAGTAGTAAGAAGTTTTATTTAATCCCTTCAAGTGCCTGTGATTCCACTAGTTAAATCAGAACCTTAAGAGCACCCGTTAGTCCGCTCGACCCCCCCCCCCCTCCGATATAAATCAGACTAGTATAAACATCATTTCTTGACCTAAAATTGATTACGAGTGGATATTCGCAGCGGGC